TCGAAAGACCCAATTGTTCCTCATCAAGGCCACTGTGCTATCTGCAATCGCGAAGGGAATATGTCAAGGCCACTACGGGATCGTCTAACGCCGAAGCAGGAGCAACAGTCTCGGCAGCAGAATGGTGGGAAGGATCCTATAACTTTCATCGATATGTCGCGGGTCAATAACGTGGCTAATCTATTATTCCGTTGCACTACTTGTCATCGAGCCTTTCACTTCGAACATCTATCTGATGTCGCTCATCTTACGTGGCATTGCCAGGACTGTGCTTCAGTCCCGGGAGAAGTCGGTGCTATAGTTGCCTGGCGACCAGTCGATCCAAAGGCGAAAGCCGCGAAAGAAGCGGAGCGAGAGTATCTTATCAAATGGAAGAACCAACCCTACAGCAACGCGACCTGGATGCCTGGAAGCTGGGTCTGGGGTTTTGTTAACCATATCATGCGTCGGGCCTTTCTCAAGAAGAACCTCGCACCGCAAAGGACTATCGAAGAAGCTGTCCCGGAGGACTACTTACGCATCGATATCATCTTCGACGTCCGTTATTCTAGCTCATCGCCGCCTGGAGAAAGCAAGCAGAGGTCCTATGAAACGGACCTTGAGCGGATTGACAATGTGTCTCAGGTATATGTCAAATTCAAAGGTCTTCCGTATGAGGATGTAGTCTGGGATACGCCTCCTGATCGTAGTGATGCAGAGAGATGGGAGGACTTCAAAACTGCTTTTGCGGACTGGGTCAAACGGGAATATGTCCGTCAGCCGAACCAAGAAACTTTGAGGAGACATCTGGCCAAGAAGAGAAAGAAGAACTTCCAAACTGATCTGGTCAAAGACCATCAGCCCACCATTATGACGGGTGGAGAGATGATGGACTACCAACATGATGGTGTCAATTGGCTCTACTACATGTGGTTCAAACAGCAAAACGCTATTCTTGCCGACGAGATGGGTCTTGGAAAGACGATTCAAGTCATTGGCTTCATGGCTACCCTGATTCAGTACCATAGATGCTGGCCTTTCCTAGTGGTGGTGCCTAATTCCACCTGTCCCAACTGGCGCAAGGAAATCAAGTCATGGGTTCCTTCAATGCGGGTGGTGACATACTACGGGTCTGCATTTTCTCGCAATCTTGCCAAAGAGTATGAGATGTATGCTGATGACGATCCTACTCTCCGATGCCATGTCGTCGTGACTTCGTATGAGACGATGGTTGATGACGCATCCCGCAGATTCCTGGCAAAGATTCCCTGGGCCGGCTTGGTTGTTGACGAAGGCCAACGGCTCAAGAACGACAAGAGCCAGCTTTATGAAGCACTGTCGCGAATCAGGTTTCCGTTCAAGTTGCTTCTGACCGGAACTCCGCTCCAGAATAACATCCGAGAACTATTCAACTTGCTCCAGTTTTGCGACCCGTCAAAGAAGGCCTTTGACCTCGAACAAGAGTACGGCACGCTTTCACAGGAGAATATTACAAAGCTGCATGAAATGCTACGGCCTTTTTTCCTGCGACGGACAAAAGCGCAAGTGCTCACGTTTCTTCCTCCAGTTGCCCAGATTATTGTTCCGGTCTCGATGTCTGTGGTACAGAAGAAACTATACAAATCTATCCTTGCCAAAAACCCTCAATTGATCAAGGCTATCTTTCAGCGCAATGGGGCCAAGGCTTTGAAACAGGCCGAAAGACATAACCTGAACAATATTCTCATGCAACTGCGCAAATGTCTGTGTCATCCATTCGTCTATAGCAGAGCCATCGAGGAGAGAACTGCTGATAGGATGAAATCTCATCGGCACTTGGTGGATGCAGCTGGTAAACTTCAATTGTTGGAATTGATGCTCCCAAAACTCAAGGATCGTGGCCATAGGGTCCTCATTTTCAGTCAGTTTCTCGAAAATCTCGACATAATCGAGGATTTCCTCGACGGAATGGGTTTGCCACATCTTCGCCTCGATGGGAGAATGACTTCGCTCGAGAAGCAGAAGACGATCGACGATTACAACGCGCAGGATTCGCCCTACTTCGCCTTTCTTCTCTCGACTCGGTCTGGTGGAGTGGGGATCAACCTGGCTACTGCAGATACAGTGATCATTATGGACCCGGATTTCAACCCCCATCAAGACATGCAGGCGTTGTCGCGTGCTCATCGAATAGGGCAAACGAACAAGGTTCTTGTCTTCCAGCTTATGACCCGGAGCAGTGCCGAAGAGAAAATCATGCAAATAGGCAAGAAGAAGATGGTCCTAGACCACGTTCTTATTGACCGCATGGTGGCTGAAGAAGATGACGGGCAAGATCTTGAGTCTGTCCTCCGTCATGGAGCTCAGGCCTTGTTTGATGACGATGACTCTGGCGATGTACGATATGACTCTGAATCTGTCGATAAGCTCCTTGATCGCAGTCAAGCCGAACAAGCCAAGGCGTCCGTTGAAGGTGACCCGGAGTCCCAATTCAGCTTTGCTCGGGTGTGGGCAAACGATAACCAGAATCTGGAGGATCGCCTCCAGGAAATGACTGAGCAGACTGAGCAGACTATACCCAATGCTGACATTTGGGACAACATTCTGCGCGAGCGAGAACAAGCTGCAGCCGAGGAAGCCAGGCGAAAAGCGGAGACATTTGGTCGTGGAAAGAGGAAGCGTACCAATGTTGATTACGGCAAAACTGCCAGGGAATCGTCCCCCGTCGATGATCATATAAAGCGACTAGCAGACAGCGACGGAGAGTACCAGGTCGAAGACGCCGTCGACTCCGAGTCTGACTTGGCCCCTGAGCTAGACCGTGATGAACCGGTCATCCCCAAAAAGACTAAGAGTAAGTGCTCGATTCTCCTTCGATTGGGGTTATTCGCATTTCGCTAACGCAAGCCACAGCTCGAGAATTCGAAAGAATTGCTCCCATCAACTTGCCGCTGGCCATGGATGGCAGTGCGGAACCTAACCAAACTCAGCAACCAACTTGTATTGCATGCAAGCAGGCTCACCCGGTTGGTTCCTGTCGCTTGAGGTTGGCTGGTGTTGAGCATTGTCCCCTCTGTGGTCTTGCCCACTATGGTTACTCGCGCACATGTCCTCATCTGAAGTCTGATGCACAAGTCGCCAGGATGCTGGATGCTATAAAGCATAGTACTGAGGATAGGGAGCTCGTTCTCCTAGCGAAAAAGTATCTGACTGGTATTCGTGGCAACCTTGCACTGCGCAAGAGAAAAGAGGCCAGTAAGGCTGCAGCAGGCGGTGCGACTCTTCCTGCCTCCACCCCTGTTGCAACCAGCTCCCCTGTTGTCGACCTCACTACTGAACATCGCATAGAGCCAGCTGGTCAAGCATTGATGAATCCCGGACATTCTTTCCCTTTATCTACTCATATATCTCAACACCATCCTACCAACGGAGTGTAAATCTAACAGTTCATCAAGAGGGTCAGGAAGCAGCAGGAAGCAGCAGGAAGCAGCACGTGGCGGTGGTGGTTTTGTTATCTTGTTCTCTTTCCATAGGGATTGATTCAGCGTTAGTTGCCTCCAGGGTCTCGGAGTTCGTGATATCATAGCATTGGCAGGAGTTGCATGAAAAAGCTATGTAATTACATTTCGTTTAGAGAAGCAATGGATCTGAGGCTGATAAATCGGGTCACATGTTCGTGATCTTGGCCTTCCTTCCTGCCTTCCTTCCTTCCTTTCTTCCTTCCTGTTTGGCTCCGGCTGGTTCAAACCAGAACATCCCGCCGACTGCATCTCGTTTGTGGATATCAAATTCAGGACGGAACTCGAAGTAGACTTCATTTCGTTTGTTGCCATTCTCCTCCTGTTTCCGCGCATCGCGTGCTGCGTATTTGCTGAGATTTTTCGCAATACCGTTTGTGGATAATGCTGATTTGCTCATTCGTTGGATCGTTCGTGTCACCAACGTCACCCGCCGATATAATCGTTACTTACTACCTCCACGTTGCCAGCAGACCGCATCGAGGCTTATCAGACACATAAATGTCAATCTCAGGACTGGAAACGAAGTATGGGTCGATCCTATTAGGTGACACTCTGTTAGGGACAGCACGGGCAAGCAAAGAATGCCTATGTATCGACGTTGATCCCTGACCATTGACCATTGAATTCGCCCGGATTCGATTGATGCAGAGAGAAAGCATGCTTCAAGTTAAGAGGTATGAGGATGGAGGGAATCAGTCCGGTACGATATATCACCCAGAGGCTGAGTTTATCGGAGAAACAGCAATTGCACCCTTTTCACAGAAGCGGACCAAACCCCCATGACATGCGACCAGCGAGGAGGCTGCAGCCATCCGGGACGGTTGTACTAGCGAGCATCATCGGACAAACACTGACGGCATTTAGTCATGGCTGGATCTGGACCCTGCGACTGCTCTTATCCTCTGCGGAATCTTCGCGCTGGTATTTCTTTTTCTTGTTTTCTGGTCTTTTGCCAGTATTCGGCCGGTTGAGAATCTTTTGATCTGCATTGATTCTACGGGCGGCGAACATTAGATGTGTTCTCAGACTGGCTTTTTATACTCCTGTTCCTGTCGCTTCTTTTTTTGCGTGACTGTTACTGCAGGGTTGTTGGTAATATAACACCAATCTCTGCAAGCTCACACGCCTAGGTTGCTCTTGTTCCTGGAGTGAATGGTGTATCGTTCTCTGTGTGGTGCTATCAACCCCTGTTGCCAACGCCTGTCTCAGTGAATGTTAACTGATTTTTTGCGGGCAGTGATTCACGGATCTTTAACACGGTCTTCCTTTCTGTTTAATTCTTTGGATCCTCTTCTCTCTTCTTCTCTTTCTTAATCTCTTCACTGTGGTTGTGTTCCCCTCTTTACTTCCATCCCTCTACTTCTATCTCTCTACCATTCGTCCTTACACTCTTTGCTTTCCCATCTCTCATGGCGATATACTTCATCTTCTAGCATAGGTTATATCGCTTCCTGACACCCAGCTTCTCATCCGTCTATCCCTGCCAAAGACTGACTTGCAAGTTGGCGCTGCCAAGCAGCCATGTCTTCGCCGATTCGCCCTCAGTTTTTCTGTACTCGCCCAAATGGCACCCTCACCCCCCTGGTTGCTGTCGACGAGCTGCCCTCACATATTTCAATCCGCGGTGCTCCCCGTACCCTCTCGCCAAGCGAAACTCAAGGCATGACTAGTCTGGGTACTGTGAGCTCTAGATTGCAATTCTATGTCCTCGAGGGCGCTCTCCCACACACAACTCGCGCGTCGCCCGGTACCGCACCTGGACATCGCTCCCGCGACAATGACGTGCAGGCGACGCTTATGAATCTTGCTTCCGATGAAAATATACCATTTAGCCAGAGAGTTGCGATCAGTACGCTATTGCAACATGGTGTATCTCAGAACTGGTTTGCGACACCTTCATCATCCAGCGGCTGGCTGGTCCCAAGCAGCAATGTGAATCCCCCAGGAAACGGTACTGCTAGACAGGTACGTGTTACTCTACATGCGATGCACCAGAAAGTTCCAAGGTAACGAAATTTGATTAACCCTCTTCCAGAGCCCCCACTACAACTCGAAGAAAGAGTACTGCTCTTATTGGATCCGTCATGGCGAATGCGACTATCAGCAACAAGGTGAGGGGCTCATGTTACATTTAGACAGCATAAATCTAACACTCGCCATAGGATGTCTCTATAAGCATGAAATGCCTCACGATTTGTCCATGCTAGAGAAGCTTGGTCTGCGCGACATCCCTCGCTGGTACCGCGATAAGTTCAATATTCCCAGCCTACTTCCCAATGGGCATGGACATCCCCGTACCCCCCTTAACCATACACTCCCTGCACCCGATGCTGGTTCCTACAGCAGATCGCTTCCCTATCACCCGCGCTTGGGTATGGATGAAGTGCTTGACGCGCCTGAGATAAAAAGGGAGCCTGGACAGGAATTTGCTGCAAACCAGCTCTCCATCCAGCCATCTTCATTGGGATTTCCTGGTGCCTCGAGACTCGCTTTGCCGGCTACGGACGTAGCGAAAGCTTCTAAGACTCAGAGGGTAGAGCAAAAGCACACTCCCAGTTCCAAGAATACGGCTCTCAGGAAGCTCGATCTTCTGTCTTTTGATCCGCTTCCGGAATTCCAGGAATATTCATCCTTGAGGCCTGCCAACGGAAACAACTCGCCTGCTTGTGACTATCCACGCCCGCATGAGAGTACTGCTTACAAGAACGTTGCTGCCGATCCTTTTGAAGGCACTTGCAGAGATTCGCGTGGAAGTTTTGGTCGTATCCCACCTCTCCTACCTGCCTCTCTTGGTATGAATCCGTCCCAGGGTTCAAGTATCTTACGAGATGCTGCACCTCAGGGACGTTCCAAGAAGAACCATAAGTCCCGTCGTTTGTATCAGCCTCGATCACAATTCCCATCGGAAGATCCAAGCTCTGAAATGGAGGAGCGAGTCGCTGGGGCGAGTTATTCTAGCCAGGCCACTCTTCCGTCGAATTGCACATCGCCTGCCTCAAAGGTCACATTTGGGACTTTCGGGTCTCTCCAGACGCATACTAAACCGGGTCTCGTGCATGGATGTGCCGCATCCGAGCCGCCTACTCGAGATGCCTCCCCTTCTACACACTCCAGTACTGCTTCGTCGGAGTCCAGCCCTGGCAAGCGTTGCAATCGCGTCAAAGGCAAGAGTCACAGGCTCAATTCTGGGACCATTGGTCAAAAGATTTATCGCCAACGCTCTGTTGGATCTTCCGAAGATGAATTTTTCGGCGGTTTGTCCATGGAAGAGGAGAAGTAAATAGAGACTCTACTAGGTGAGACCGGAAGGTGCCCACATGTATATGGTCTGAGGCCTTCTTCTACTTGATCGGAAACCAGCTGTTTGATCTCCCCCCATCACACATAAATATGCGACTTTGCGGCTTTTCCAGGTGCTACGATGCGAACTACTATGATGTGCTACACGGGATCTCCTTTGCGAAATAAATATACCTTTTCTGTCTCAAAAGGAACGAAGGACTCCCCTACTTAACTTGACGTTGACGTTGGAATGAGAGAAAATGGAGATTCTGTTCGCCTACTACTACTACTAATCTAGCCTTGAAGGCGAAACTCTGTATCTGAACACACAGTGCTTCTTTCCCAGCCATCATATGTACGCTGTCAATACTATGTTGTTGTTGCTTTTTTCCTTTTCACTTTCTGCTTTCCAAGTTTCCTCTTTTTCAGTTTTCATTTTCGTTGCCTCTAACCCCCTCTCTTGTTCGGAGAAGACACGGTCTCGTGTGCGAAATGTAATATAGCAGAGGTCATGTCTATATTTGGATGGGAGTTGGGCGGAGGCGATGGATTTCGAACATGTAAAATATGAGCACAGGCATGCCCTGATGCAATGAAACAGCCCTTGAGCTTTGCCCACGCTCGTCACTCTCGTGGTAAATCTCGAACATGATGGCTCTTTGGTGATGCCGTAAGCAGCTTGTACTCTAGTACTCTTGTAATCCATGAGGGTCCTCGCTTCCTTATCGCTCGACGGAAACACCACCAAGCCCCAGCCACCCTGAGCCATATCTGTGAAGATGGAATGAAGTATAATACATTGATATGATGAATCTAGTACAACCGTGCAGAAAAGAGCAAATTGCGCCACCCTGTTTTGATCTGAGCTTACAGAGAGTTCCGGGAAATTAAGACAAGAAGACGGGACCGGAGAAAAGAAAAGAAACCAGAAGAAGAAAAGAGCTCCGAGACAAGACAAGACACATCATACACACATATACAGACAAGAGTCCCTTGACCCCGCGAATGATTCCCCAAAGGAGATATCATCCATCCTCACGCGCGCACGCGCGCACATGCGCGCATCAATCAGCGGAATCTCATAAGGGCGCCGGAAGGGATTGATTCCCTGAGCAGGTCCACCACCACCGCCACCTTCTCCTCCTCCTCAGCGCATTCTACGCTGCGGGGGTCTAGCACCGACCCTCACGCCGACCTTGGCGCCCTTCTGGTCCTCCTTGCCCGGGAGCCTGGGCATGGCGGAGGTCAGCGCGGGCAGGGACTTGATGGCCTCGGAGATGATCTGGTTCCCATCGACGACGGTGTCGGGGAGTTGCTCCAGCTGCTTGCGGGCCTTCTGGGCGGCGCGCCTGGCGTCGAGCTCGCGGCGGCGCTCAGGGGTGATGGCCCATTCGTCGGGGAAGCGGAGGCGGGTCTTGGGCTTGTGGTGGCGGAGGTCGAGCGGAACGTCGGCGAAGCTGTCGCCTTCCTTGGCCTCCTTGAGCAGGGACTGGATCAGGTCGCCCAGGTAGCGCTTGTTCTGGGCGCGGTGCTGGAACTTCTCGCACGACATGCGCACGATGTCGGTGTCCGGATTGTAGCGCACGCCGACCAGCTTGAGGAAGGTCTGGCGCTGGGCCTCGGTCAGGTGCTTGGGGGTCAGATCCTTGGAGGCCAGCTCGACCACGACCTTGTGCTGGGCCGGGTGCTCTTCGCCCATGTAGGTCGTGTAGCGGAAGCGGAGGATGTGGGTTTCGGGAGGCAGGGTGAAGGGTTTGGCGAGTTCTGTGTGAGAGTGAGAGTTAGCTAGATCTGCGCCTTTTTTTTTGTTGGTGCTTCGTTCTCAAGCTGGGAGGTGGGGGTTCATATTTCAAGTGGAAGGATGGCCCCCACTCCCTCCCAGGAGTCAACGAAAGACAAAAGGGAAGAAGAGTCAAGTCATACTGCTCAATGACGGCATATCCCAGGCGGCGATCCGCGCGTATTCTCTGATCTCACGGTGCTCCTCCAGTTCGGCATAGGCCATGGTCGTCATGTCGTCGTCGTTGAATTCGTCGTCCATATCCTCCACCAGACCGAACTCATCGGGCTCTTCCTCCGACCAGAATCCCTTCGTAAATGCTGCATCCGTAAAGCGCCAGGGCTGTACTTGCTTGTCAATCGCGGCGATTCTCTGGTCGACCTCGGCCATCCGGGCCTTGCGTTTTTCCGGGTCGTTGAATTCGGCGATCATGCTCTTGTTCACCTTATCGAAGGCCGCGCGGTCTTCCGGGGACATCATGTCGTACAGGGACCGCTGCTCCGGAGTCAAGTTCTCGGGCGAGTACTCCGGGAGGTTGGGGTAATCCTCCAGGCGCCGTGGGCGAACCTCAGGGATGACCGGGTCTTCGGGCATGCAGGAGAGCGGCGTGGCGGAGAAGGAGCGGTAGGAGGGGTTGGCGATGGGACCTCTTCGGGCCAGGAAGAAGGCCGAGCGGCCCAGAGACCTGGCTACTGAGGCCATTGTGAGGGGAGAGAGGATGGAGGGAGGGAGGGGGATTTGTAGGCGGAGAATTGGAGGGTTTGGATGTTTTTTTGATGGAGATGGGATTGGATGGGATTGGATTGGGAACTTCTTTCTTTCCCGCAAACCACTATCCCCTTTGGGGAAGGCGGCCCTTTCACCGCCATTCAAACTGCCGGACATTCTTGACTCTATGCGAGCAAGTAGTCGCTCCGCATCTCATCATTTTCTATGAGTATGTAACAAACATAATTAACTGACACTTGCAAAAATATGTCATGAGTCACTACTATTAACTTAACTAACTGACCGTCGGACGATTCCATTCACGTCAAGCCTAAATCAGGCATGCATGACTTTGTCTAGCTGGCTGGTGCCTAGTCACAGTGCTGATAATCAACTTCTTGGTTCCCACTTCCGTTGCATCGATCCACCTATCCTATCCATATACACATCATATCGAGTACGTCTACCATGGCAATGCAAGACCATCCCCTGAAGTTCTGCTTCGTAACTGTGGGAGCTACCGCTTCTTTCAACCTTCTCATTCAATCGGTTTTGGAGCAAACCTTTCTACGTGAGCTGCGCGCACACGGTTACACCAACCTGCTGGTCCAGTACGGCAAAGACGGCAACACCCTCTTCGATGAATTCCTGCGCCAATTTCCCCCGGGTAGTGAGGGCCAGCACGGTCTGCTGATCGATGGATTCGACTTCAATCCCGACGGACTGGACAATGAAATGCGTCTCGCTAAGGCCCGGCCCTCGGAAGGTCGAGTTGGTGGGTTGATTATCAGCCATGCCGGTATAGTTGCAACCTCGCTGATAGACTTCGCAATGCGCGAACTGACCACCATGACTCTAGGCTCTGGCAGCATTATGGATGCATTGAGACTGGGCGTGCCTCTTGCGGTGGTACCGAATCCGACCCTCAAAGACAACCACCAGCAAGAGCTTGCCGATATCCTTCAAGAACAGGGCTATCTCATTGCGAGTCACTATCAGTAAGTTGTCCAGTCTCTACTTTCTTGTGTGGTGGACTTCGAATTGAACTCCAATCAGGGATGTTGCGACAGCAGTCGATCGGGCTGAACGCCTGCGAGTTCAGATGGCCAAGTGGCCGCCGGTCTCCAAGGCCCAGGAAATCCCTCCGCCGAGCCTAGATCAAGTCATGTCTGACGAATTGGGCTTCTTGGATTGATTGTTTTTCATAGCCCATTATCTCTTACTCCTCATCGCAAATGAACTGTTGTTGAGGAACGAATTGCCATGGCGTTACAAGGCTTGGGTGCTTTAGTATAGAAGAGGAATGGAATGGCTTTGGAAGGTTGCAATCACCAATGGCGCATTAGCATTCATAGTTGAGGACTTGTTATTTAGCTCCGCTAATGATGAACACGTTTATCATTTGTTCATCCTCTCAAATTGAAACCGGAGGTACTTAGTATGAAAAAAGGATAGGAGAATGGGGTGGCTAAAGAGAACTTGAAGTTGAGGATTGGTGGTGGAGTGGCCCAAGCTTCTCCGCGCGGGCAGATCCAACTAAACCGACTGGACTTACTTTCCCTTCCCCGAAACGCGCAAAAAGAACCACCACCGACTTTCTTGTCCTTTTCTTCTCCTTGCTTTTCTCCCTCCCACGCATTGTTCTTCTACCATTTTTGTCCTTGCAATACTATATCTCATAAAATCAAACGTATTCCGACCGATTCTTTTATCTCACTAGCCATTAAAATCGGCCGCGGGGGCCTTCCACTGCATATAAACAATCGACGACCCAAAACACCCGCTCCGAACCTCAACCAGCGCTCCGTTTCCCCTTTCCAGCTTCCTCCCCACAATGGCAGAAGCCACCCTTCATAACGCCCCGATAGTCATCGACAATGGCAGCGGAACCATCCGCGCCGGTTTCGCGGGGGAGGAGATCCCCTCGTGCTTCTTCCCCTCGTTCGTCGGTCGGCCCAAACACCCGCGGGTGATGGCCGGTGGCCTGGAGGGCGACGTCTTCATCGGCTCCCGCGCCCAGGAACTGCGCGGCCTGCTCAAGATCCGGTATCCGCTGGAGCACGGCATTGTCACGGACTGGGATGACATGGAGAAGATCTGGCACTATGTGTACGAGAACGAACTGAAGACGCTGCCGGAGGAACACCCCGTGCTCTTGACGGAGCCACCGCTCAACCCGCGCAAGAACCGCGATGCCGCCGCCCAGATCATGTTCGAGACCTTCAACGTCCCCGCGCTGTATACCTCCATCCAGGCCGTCCTGTCGCTATACGCGTCTGGCCGGACGACGGGTGTGGTGCTCGATTCAGGGGATGGAGTGTCCCACGCGGTGCCGGTGTTCGAGGGCTTCGCCATCCCCAACAGCATCCGGCGGATCGACGTGGCCGGGCGGGATGTGACGGAGCAGCTGCAGTTGCTGCTCCGCAAGAACGGCCATGTGCTGCATACCAGCGCGGAGAAGGAGGTGGTGCGCATGATCAAGGAGAAGGTGTGCTACGTGTCGTTGGACCCCAAGCGGGAGGAGAAGGACTGGATGAACAACTATCACAAGTTGGAGACCAAGTCGGTGGACTATGCTTTGCCGGACGGGCACAAGATCAAGGTACGAGTTTGTGATGAGTGGGCGGGACATGTTTTTTCTCTAATAGCTACGCATAGATCGGGCAAGAACGCTACCGCGCGCCGGAGATCCTCTTCGACCCGGAACTCATCGGTTTGGAATATCCGGGAGTGCATCAGATTGTCCAAGATGCGATCACCCGGACGGATCTCGACCTGCGCAAGTCCTTGTACCTCAACATTGTCCTCTCTGGAGGCTCGACATTATGCAAGAACTTCCCTGATCGGTTGATGCGGGAGATCAAGCGCTTGGCTGTGGAGGACATGAAGATCCGGATCTCTGCTCCTGCTGAGCGGAAATACACGACCTGGATTGGCGGAGGGATCCTCGCTGGTTTGAGCACATTCCGCAAGGTAAATTGCATCCCGCATTTGGATTTCGTTGGACCTGTGGCTAACGAGGACCACCAGATGTGGGTGAGCGCGGACGAATGGCATGAAGATCCTGAGATCATTCACCGGAAATTCGCTTAATCGTGATGCATCGCAGGACGACGTCCCGACTGAGGACAACATGACATGATCGACGGACAACAATCCCATCGCGCAGAAGTCAGTGGATGCATCCGGAGGCACGAATGACTAGTATGCACGAAGGGGATGGTTGTTTAGACAGGTCCCTGAAGAAGTTCGGGGCAAAACCATAACCAACAGCAGCCATTTCATAGATACCCCTGCACCTTTCCAATCTCTCTGCCTTCGACACTCCAAACAACCCATCCACCACTTCCAAAGCACCCCAGATGATACGTTTCGTGCATATTCTTCTCGACGACCATACAACCTATCACTTCTAAGTATGTCCCCTATGCACGCGCACGCGCACGCGTACACGTAACCGAGACGTGTTGCATCCGATCCCAGCTGTCACACCTTTCGGCTTGGCCAGTATCCTCACCTGGCCTTGCTGGGACGGATCATTCACCAAGCCAATCGCAATTTGGGGTCTTCAGAATGAACCCTCACTGCTGCTGAGGAGTGACTAACACGAGTAAATCGAGCGATGACAATCAACATTCTTCTCCTTCTGCTCCTTGTCAAGTGGTCTCTCCAACCTCCGTTCTCATCGACTGTACTTTTTGTGTAAATATTGAATGGCATAGATGAGATGAATGAGCGATTGACATAATTTCTTGAATGACCACTTCATGGCACCTCTTCCCTTCCCTCGTCTGCGACCTGCGATCCAAAGCCCAATAATGAGCATTAATTGAGCTCGCAAAGAGAATTCACCGTACTGTACATCTGCCAACAACCAATCTGAAGGAGTAGCTTGGGTGCGCATGGTGACACCAAGCCCAGCCCCTCGGTCCTCAAACCCACCCAATACTATACCATACTATTCTTATGCTGTTCCACCATCTTGACGCCTCAATGCAGGGCAATCGCCGAATAGTCTAGTCTAGAAATAAGTCGCCGTGCTGTTGGGTCTACATGTTCCCAACCAATTGCGTGCGTGCAATCTCTTTTTGCATGAACTCCAAATACTGATATCAGGTGCCAGGTGTTACAGTACAACCTTCCTCAAATGGATTGATTGGTTTCGTGTCCTGACGAAATCTCGGAGGTACGCTGCTACTGCTACTGCAGTGTAAATCGAAAGACAAGAGATGTAGTAGTATACTGTAGCTCGGTGATCGCCGAGACTAGAACCCCAGTAAAGAAATACAGTGCCCTCAGGCAATCAGGCAATCAGGCAAACCCGGATAGATTTAACCTTGAAGCGTTCGTTGCCTTCCCGAGTAGGTAGTAACTAGAGTACCCTCAGGTTGCTTCTTACCCACGTATAAACTCTCCACCTCAACTCCCAACATGACATGACAAAGACCACCACCACTACCACCCAGCTCATCAAGAGCGGAAATACTGCCCACAATTACGACCTCCCAAGCCCCGCCAGAAACCACGCCACATTGTATGTATGACACCAATCCATCCAATATGTCACAGTATGAACACAGCACAGCACAGCACAGACTCTAGACCACCTTCTAGAATAGAATCTAGACCCGACCACCCCCCCAAAAAGGCACTCGAACCTCGGGTACTGGAAGGGCGAAAGAAAGAGAAAGGCCTTTCTTGCATGTCATCATGAGTAATTCAGGTAAAGGTTAAGGTTTGGAGCCATCCCGAGGTGCGTGGTGCGTGGTTCGCTCAGGCTGGGCTGACATCTCCGCCTCCCGCCCCCGGATTCCCCGTTCTTCGTACGTACGTACTTCGTACTCGAGTTGGTGAACTCGCGAGGAGGTCTCCACTTCTGCGTAAGGATAGGGTTTGTTTGCGAGTACGAAGCTCTTCGTTTCTCCCTCGCACTGTGTTTTGTATGTGGGCATCGGTTTGCTGGGTCTGTACTACCCTGGGGGGCTATGATCATGCTTACAATAAGGGAAAGGAATGATTTCTACAATGGAAGAAGGGAAAAGGTTTTGCTTGTCTGTTCTTGTTTTTCATTCCACACGCTCTCGGCGAGGTAGCTATCTAGGGGGTTGGTACAGGAGATAGTGTGCTGCTCATTCGTTCGTTCATATGTGAAGGATGAAGGATTGAATGGTCAGGTACATGAGCTTTAGCTTCGATTATGCTGCGCTGCTGTGGATGAGGATCCAGGATTGTTGTGTTGAAGTTTGGATGGCAGACAAAACAAAAGAAAAAAAGAGAAAAAAAAAGTAGATGCCATGCGATGCTGATCCAGTATTGAATCAACTTTTGAACATAGCGATTGGGGTATCATGTTGAAGAGATGTGAATGCGATTCGAAGGTTGAAGGTTTGAAATGTTGAGGTGAGAGTTCCCACAAATTCATGGAGTGTAAAGAGTAGCACCCTTTGTTGGTTGAAGGCTCAAAAGAAATTAAATAGATGCGTAGTTGTGTTGAGAACAAATGCATGTGGAGGTCGAATCCCCCAAGCCCAATTCAGGCGGTAAAATCAAGAACTTTTTTTGTGGTGGGAGTCGTAAAGTCGTGAGTCATGATCCAGAAGGACAAGTTCGCAGGCGCTTTGGTGAACAAGCAAAGGCTGAAAATGAATAAGTGGAAAGTCGCAAAGGACGGCTTGGCTGGTGGTTGCTTGGGTTGTCGTCCCGGGCTGGCTGGCTTAGGCCATGCCCCGGAGCTTGTCCCAGCCCTTATTCAGACCTCGGAGAGCACGCTCGCGCGCGGAGCCAGAGCTACTGCTGGTGCCGTTGCTGCTGGCGGAGAACTTGCGCGACAGGCTGCTAGACGAGTCGTCGCTGAAGACCATGTTGCCGGCACCGCCGCGGCCGACGTGGTAAACGGGCGCGGCGCGGCGGAGCTCACGCTCCAACTCCTCGTCGAAGCTGAAGATGGCGCGCTCGCTGCCACTGTGGACGTTCCCGGCGCCGCCCCGGCCAGACTTGAAGGTGCTGGGCACCCGCGAGTCGAGGCGCGTCAAGGAAGCCGGTCCAGAGGCCGTCTGCGAGGGAGTGGTCTTGGTGCCCTTGAGGTTGATAACGTTGCCGGCGCCTCCACGAGCCGTGTGCAGAGCGGGACGGCTGGTGTGAGGAACCGATGGATGCGGTTCAATGACTCGATATGATCCCGGCATGGTAATTTGTGTTGTGGTGTTGTATGTGGGTTGTGGTGGTGTGCGGGTATGAAGAGGTATGTATGCAATTGCGCTAATTGGCGATGACTCAATGCAGCGATGATGCAATGCGATGAGAGACAAGACGCGTGCAATTGGGACTCGAAACTCGGTTGATATGCGAATTGGTATCGAGTCGAGAGTGTGGGGTAGTAGGAGTGAATGGGTGAGGGTGAGGATAAATATCCCACAGAGGCTGAACAGTGAAGTATGAAGTGAAAGAAGACACACAGCAGGAACTGTGGTTAAAGTATATGATTCAGAGGAGAAAAAGAGAAAGAAAAAAAATTCTTTTTTCTTTTTATTTTCTTTTCCCTGATTGAAATCCACACCTTCTTTTAAGGATGTCGTGATGCTGGTACTGTACTAATTATCCACTATAGCCTCGACCCAGAGGTTGTGGCGGGGACGGAGTTATATAGAATGGGAGCAGCCCCCTTTGTGACGGCAGGACGACTCATGATTGCACCACGGGACAAGCCGAGCAAATTCAGTTGGAGCATTTCTGGGAATAATGGGAAGTGAATTTCCCATTCCAGGCACCGCAAAAGAAAGAGCCAGCAAAAGCCAGCCCAGCCAGGGTCACACGCGGTGGGAAGTGGAGCGCCAGCAAATTTTCTGCTGGAGAAAAACGAGTGAAAAAAGAGTTTGCCGGCTGAACCGCGCGCATAACGTCGGATGCTGAGGCGGCGCCTGTAAAAGCAGCCTTGAGGAACGTGTGCGCAGAACGGCAGGACTGGTCGGGAAGGGATCCACCACAGCCAAAAACATCGCAAAACATCCCAAAACATCCAGTGCTGCTTTTACTCCTTGGGAGAGTTGTCGCGATCATCTGACAAGCCCGTTCCCACTCCCCGCGGGACTAAAACGTAACAGAAACTACCCGCTGCACCAATCAGCCGCAGACGCAACGCCCAGTGCAGTTTCCTGGGGGTAATGGAAATGGGCTGGTCGGTCACGCGTCATCGTCGAGTCCATTTTTTTTTTTGCTCAGTTTCTTTCCATTCTTTGCTTGTACTCGAGTAGTCGGTGGATGATCCATTGAAGTGTAAGCAGGGATGGACTAATTGTAAGTAAGTAAGGTAACAATTTTGCAACTATTCCAGTGTTATAGTTGGTTTTACAGTCTATCACATTGGCAATTTGGCACTCTCTTGGTCTCCCTCGTGGCTCAAGGAGTAGTGACTCCCTCCTACTCATACCTACACTAATTTGAGTAGTTCTGGACTGGAGAGCCTCCCCGTTCTCAAATTGATTACTATTAGTAAATAGTGTGGTGGGCAGATGCAGACAAGCCACGCTAACCCTCATGGCTGGGCGCTGGGCTGCTGCTTTTCCCCGCAAAAAGCCATCGGAGGAACAGTACACTTGCATCATCGCTGTACATTCAGAATACTTCCCATACTTCCCATACTTCCCATACTTCCCCCCTCGGTCACCTCAACAACGAGCCGAACAAGGGCGGAATGACCGCCAACCTGAGTACCCCTCGAGTACTGCGATTACGAGAGAAATTGCGCGGATGATGCCAGTTTTCAGGTAGTCATCCCACTGCAGGATGATGCTGATCAGGCACAACTAGCGGAATGGACGAGAAGAAGCTAATCCTGCCGTCGCTCGCAGCTGGAGAAGACGTTATTGTGCAGCAGCTTGCACCATTGTGTGTTCCAAGTCCCAGTGTCCGTGTGTCAATGGAAAGGGGGAGAATCAGGAGAATCAAGGCATCACCGAATGTGGTGGTGGTTGAAGACTCGGTTTGTTGATGTTCGAGACCATCGACGTTTAGTCACGTTAGCCCCGATTGATCGTGCGAAGATCATCCACCCGCTGCCCCTCTTGCTCTCTCTCTCTCTCACCGCCCTTAATGAAATTGTGTGATTCAGTCCACTCTCTGCCCATCATGCTCATAGCCTCATTTCTATTGGCATTGACGAGCCACAGAAAGAGCCTTGCTGGCCAAGGCTGAGTATTGAGGCCAGCCAGCCCCCATCATCATCATCTTCATCATCGTTGTCGTCGTCGTCGTCTTCGTCTGCCTCATCAGGTGGACAGCTGGAAATCCCACCCAAACCGAGTCATCAGTCAACCCTGAGTAAGGATGGGCCGCTAGCCCCAAGAGGGACAGCTTCCCCAGAATTAGCAGAAAATTTTCCTGAAACGAGGTGACCGGCCCTAATGGAGAGGGGCCAAACGAAGGATGACGATGGGACCCCCACCCCTTTCTCCTCGAATGCCAGAAATGCCTCACTGTGCCAGTGTGCAAATTCACACAGTGCACTGGCCACTGATGCTATTTTCTCTCCTCCCAGGGGTATGAATTTTTCACCCTTTTCCCCACACGACAGGGCTGCTGCGTTAGTCACTTTCCCGGGCCAGACTGGCGGTTATTGCGAGTGACACTTGGCGCTGAGAGACATCTCCAACTCTCCAACCGTCTAAGGGGGAGGGGGAAGGGGGAAGGGGGAAGGGGGCGCATAATCCCTCGGATTGTCGGATTGTCGGATTGTCGGTAGTAGTGCATGAATGGATGTGTAAATTGCATCAAGACATTAAGACATCAAGACATTTGCGAAGATTCTGGTTCCTGAATGGTCATGACAACCGAGCCGGTCCAGCCGGCAAATCGCCGGTTCCGCATGCATTGCTGGCCTGAGGCGGTAAGGCGGTAAGGCGGCCACGGGAAACGGTTCCAAGGAGGTTCGACTTGCTTCTTCCCCGGATTTTCCTGCCGGCATGGCTTGTTTCATCAGTCAGCATCTCTTCCTTTCTTGCCTGTCTCTCCTGAGGAAATAATCTTTCCCCTCTTTTCCCCGCTGCGAAGCATGACGTCCCCAACCAAACTTCACCTTCCTTTGGCCTTCCGGATGTTTACTCCGTCGCGAGGTCATTCTCCAGCCCTCGGCTGATGCTGGATCACATTTTCCCCAAGTGCTGGAAACGCCGACTACGCCGATTTGTGGGGGTAACGCCAGCACCTGATCATTACAATTCCCGGACTCCCCGCGGACAAGGTCATGAACCACTCCTTGCCGTCCCTTGAATCCGAGGATAGAGTGATACGTGTAGAGATCCAATTTTGGTTTCCAAGTGCGTGAAGGCAAGAACATGATGACTCACGGGACCAACCCTTCTGCCAGTGGCCACTTTGTCAAGCTGATCGGGGCGTTCCCCCTTCCCCCAGCTGGGGTGCAACAGTTATCCAAGGAACAACCTCCGGGGCCCCGGACTATCTCCTCTGTTGCCCTGATGATCATGAACAATCCTAGCCAATCGAGACTCCTTCAATCACCGTTTTTCGAGGGATTGTGCGTGGTTGGATGTTCCTTGTTTGCTGCTTTCACTTTCGAGTTGGTCTCCTGGCAATGCAAGGTGCCAAACAGTCGAGTCTCGATTGGGCCTCGATCTTAATAGAGGATCTCATTGTAAGAGCAAGGAACCGAGGGTCATTTGAGCTTTCTTCCTTCGTCAGAGTGACTGTTGTGGCTCGCTTCTCTGAGACCCAGAAGGTTACGACCTTGTTGTAGACATAGATAGTGGCAGCAACTGTGAGTCAACTCTACCAATTACTGATGTCTATGTTGGCAGCCTGCGAGACTGAAATCTGGTCGGCAAGTTAATTGATCATCTATTTCGGTGTATAAATCTCGCCAGATGGGCTTCATACTCGTGTGGGATCCAGCTGGTCTGGCCCCTGTGTTCTGTAGGGAAAACCAACGCGCAGCGGATATGAATATATATACCACGACGGCCCAGCCTGAAACTACTGATCGTGCTGGGGGCAGTTGCTACTCACCGTAGACAATGAAGAATCGTTTGCAAAGTTAAAGGATAGCCGTAGTATAGCATAGTTGGCACAAGACCACATGCCTCAACAAACACATCCGAGCACAAGGAGATTTCTGGGATCATGCAAGACTACAGTTTCCAGTCAAAGTATTGCGCTATTACGCTGTCCCACGAATAGTCCACATTGCAGCATTGAATCTTTGACAAAGACCGTGAAGGGACTACTGTCCCACCAGCTCAGTATAATTATAGTATTGACTGATGATAAGTCTACACATATGCACACAATGTGCCGACTTGATGCAGCTGCTTTTCGGCAGGATCCAGGTACTATACTATATGTAAGATGCCTGAGGCTCGACACTCGGACTGAGTATTCTGCCCCGTGATACCGCCTTGATATCGATTCGAACTCCGCCGCCAGTTATTCGACTCCGACTCTACCAAAATTTCCGAGTATTCAACAATTCCACGCGCCAAACTCATACCTCAACGATTTGATCACCCGGCTCTCATCTCTGGCTCATACAAACGCGCTTCACACACCTTGAACGAACCGTCCCGCCCAAGCGCAACGCGCCGATCGAGCGCTGCCGAGCGAAGCTTAATCCGCCTCCCAAGAGTAATCGCTATCTCAAGATCAAAATGCCCAAATATAAGTATTCGACCACTAACTCATCAGGAAACTACTGACAACTCCTCACTCTTCTGTAGGTTATCCTCTCTTATGCGATTACCGATCTATGCGATTTCAGTGGTCTCGTGCCTGCGACATCAAGAACTCCGCGCACATCGCGAAATCCCATCCTGATGTCTTTCAACCACGCCACAACAGAACTGACCGACACTTTCATGCAACAGGTGACTACTGCGATGTCTACCTTACGCACGACTCGATGAGTGTGCGCAAGGCGCACAATTCTGGACGCAACCATCTGAGAAACGTTGTGGAGTACTACCAACGTACGACGTCCCTCGTCCGACGTCAGACCTGCAATGAGTCCGCAACCGTTATCTAACACATTCACAGAGATCGGACAAGAAAAGGCCCAATCCGTCATTGACTCCATCACATCATCATACGCCGCCGAGGGCCAGGCAGTACCCAACCCTGCGATGGTTCCTCCGGGCGCCTACCCCCCTCCCTTTGGATTTCCCGGTAGGTTTCGCAACCCGTGCACCAACGCTCCAAACGAGATCGAAAGATTGATCGACGACTGATTGATTGCTTCCAGGCCGCCCAGGTCAACTTCCTCCACCTCCCTTCGGGATGCCCGCACCTGGCGCAGCTCCCGGAGCCCCAGGCATGCCTCCTCGTACGTGTCTCCCAGTAGCATACATCCCTTTCCTCCTCCCGCACGCAGCACTCTTCCCTCCTCAATTTCAAATTCTGTATATATATAATAACAAGCTAACGAGACTCGCAGCCCCTGGAGCAAGAGGCCTTCCCTTCCCACCCCCGTTCCCCGGCGTCGGCGGCCCCGGCGCCCCTGGCGGTCTTCCTGCCCTCCCCAACATGCCCCCTGGCGCCCAGGGATTCCCTCCCATCCCACCCCCCGGCGGGTTTCCAGCTGGGTTCCCCACGCCTCCTCCCGGCGCAGCTGGGTTCCCCGGCCTGCCTCCCCCGGGCCAGCTTCCGCCAGCCGGGTACAGCCCCAGCCCGACTCCGGGGATCAATGGCCCGCCCGGCTCCGATGCATATGCCCATGCTGCTCCGCCTCCTGGCATGGGTTCTTCGTCTCTGCCCGGCCCGCCTCCGGGAATGGGTGATAGACGATGAAGAACCTGTCTTGATTGCTTTCCACACATTGCATTTGATTCCACATCTTTCCCCCACCCCAAAACAACTCATGTACTCCTTGTTTCCCCCACATGTTCGAAATTACCTTTTATACCTCCTCCCTCCACCTTGAACGCTTGGTCTGTTGCTTAGACGTGTGGTCATGTTTCTGTTCCTCATCATCATTTTAAATCCTGGCGTGGTCTCTGAATATCATTTTCGTGAATTTGGGTTTATCTTTCTTATCCGGTGTTATCATGTTTTATGTTCTTCTTATCGAAAGAAAGGAGGAGTGGAAACAGTTGATTAGGAGAATGGAATAAGATGATCAGAAGAAGAAGAAAAGTTGCTAGCTCGCAGACAAAACAAGCACCCGCGCCTGGTGGTTAGAACGCGTCTCTGCCGTTGATTGCTGGGACATCTAGAATACCATGTCGCACTACATCTACATTCTTCGCCCCTCCCCCAGATGGGGCATGGCATGGAAGTAGGTATCATCGCCTACGTCACTGCAGCAGCGTTCATCCTAGAGATATCTCCTCTTTTTTTTTTCTTTCTTTCTCTCTCAGTTATTCTCCGTTCTCCCAATATGCCCAAATAAAATAGACATATCACGGGATCGAGATTAACTACAATACTCGGAAAAAGATATTCGGACACGGGACGAACATAAAAGAAAAAGCCTCCATTCTTCTTCAATTCCTCCCCCACCTCCCTTTTCTTTTCTCTATTATTCATACATCAAGGAAAGACATAAGGGAGAAGAAAATATATAGGATGAAGAGAAAAAAAAGAATAAATATATAAGATAAAAACAGAAACCCCCCATAGAACAAAGAGTATAACCGATATATATCCAGGATCCTTTGTTGGTTCAAAACGCCAGCGGTAGTAAAACGTGAGAGTAGTAGTAGTAGTAGTAGGAGTAGGTAATAGAGAAAGATGGGTTGATTGTAAGGAAGGAAGTGTGAGCCCCCCCGGCCGGCCCGTGGCTCCCCATTTTGAAAAAAAAGGGGCGTTGGGTGTCGGATAAGAGGTAAGTGGATAGATGATAGGTAGGTAGTCTAGGAAATCGATAGGTCGGGTTGATTGGGGAGAGAGGAAAAGGGGCCGGGAGGAGGCTCTCTGGTATATCACAGCATACGACAAGGGATGTAGGCAAAAAACATGATAACAGAGAAAATGGATGAAGGTGGAAATCAGAGAAGCAAGAAAAAAACCCAACGCACCTGGTGCGGGAAGAAATGTATAGGTAGTAGAAAGCTAGAATGGCTCGTGAATAGAATAGAATAGGAGTCAATCCATGCCTTCTCCCCGCACGCGCACACACACAAGGCCATAAGTTCATCACAAGCAAGGCTAGAAAGCAATTCAGGTGAATTATTCAACTTCAGTGATCATATCCCGCCCCTCTTTGCCATGGGCTCGGGTTGTTTTGTTGTCGGTATGCGTGTGGGTTTTGCATGGGAGAGGAGGTGTAACCACGCGGAACAGGCGATGGTGATCGTCCGAAATTGGCGTCGTGCGAACCAGTGCGGTTGTCGCTGGGGAATAGCGGCAACGAAGGATCCACAGGGGAGGCCGGCGAGCGCGCACCGTGGTTCGGCGATGGCTCGGGAGCCTCAAGGTTCTGACGGCTGACACTGGCCCCGTTACCGCTGGAGAAAGACGCGTTATCATCTTCGAACGGGCTGGACTTATAAGGCGAGTTCTTCATGTCGCCACGTGCCGTCGCACCCAAAGCGTCCAGTTCGGTCGTCAGCTGGCTGCCCGACTTGATGAATGAACCCCGGTCATCCCTCATCGGCTGATAGCGTGTGTCCGGGTTCTTGGATACAATGGCGTAGATAGAAGCGACCAATACCATGATCAAGAGCACAAGGGCGAAGATGGCGTTGATCACGAAGAACACGACTCCCATGACACCAGTAACAATGCCGGGTTGATTGAAGACATTCGAGAAGAAGAGGAGGAAGATGACGTTAAGGAAGTTGATAGCAGCGATGGCGATGTTGTAGATGTTGGTTTTCTTGTCCATCCACGGACGCAGCACACTGACAGCGATGAGCATGCAGGCTTCGATAATGACCAAGGCGATAGTCTGGACGACAGGAGCCGGCTGACTCAAGCCGATGAACATGCCCTTGACGAAGATATAACCAAGGAAAGGAAGAATGAAGTAGTATGCAGTTGCACGATACTGCACATACAAGAAACCCCACTTGTTCAGGCAGGTCGGGTCAGAGAAGAGAATATAGGCCGGATTTTTGTGCATCACAGTTGATCGGTTTGCTAGCCGGAGCACCTTGAGAGATGCCCAGCCCAGAGCGGCGACCACCGACAGGAACATGACGATGGCCAGAACCACCTCCGCAGCCGAGTCCCGCTGGGTGAGCTCCCATAGACACAAAACAGCCATTTGGGGAAAGCCGATCAGCGTCAGCCGGAAGAGAATGCCACGGGCTACCACTTTCCAGCCGTTCCGGAAGTCCTGGAACTTGTTGCTCTTCATCCTGCCCTGCTTGGCCAATAGTTCACAGCCAAGCTTGAAAAGGCCGACCAAGATCATGACCAGAGCAACGAAGACAACAAAGAAAATGAGACCAGTCATGAAGATGTTCGTCGATTCGATTTTGGCCTTAAAACCAACACGCTCGATACCTCGTACAATGACGGTAGAGTCGGTCGCTGTCTTGCTGTTCCCTGAAGCGCGCTTGCGCATGTAGTTCAGATAGCCGCTTGCTCGTCTGAAAATGCCTTGTTCTTCAAGCTCGAGGTCACGCTTTCTACGTCTGTAGGTGGCGACCGAAGTTGTCGACAGACTCGATAGTAGCGTCGCAGCAGTACCTCCGGTGGCTCTCTGATACCAAGTACAGATATCCTCCAGAAAGCCGACATGGATGATACCCATACTCCACTGGAAGTTTTGGGTCCAAGCTTCAACGATCGGGGGCATATGTACCGATGTCATGCCAATCATGGCCTGAGACTGCATGAAGCTGAACAGGGAAAGGGCATTGGCTGCGACATGAGCTGCAGTGTTTGAGTGCCCCAATCCCGAGGTGATGGCAGAGGCGGCGAGACCTAATCCGGAGATGACAGCAGTTGCCCAGCCGACACCCTTTTGATAGACCGTCTGGCCGTTTGAAAGCTCTGCCTCCATGCAGGTGATGCTGGAGTTCGTTGACGTGGAATTGATGTAGATACGCACACTAGCGTCGAGATCGGGAACAGTATAGGCGATGCCTAGGAAAGAACGGTTAGCAGGCCTAGGCGCTGCAAGGCATCGCGTTGCCATGGGGCGCTACTCACCTGGGATATCTTTGATCACCGACTCGGGGATGGTCAGGGTAGCTTTGGCAACATCAATGGCACCAGTATTCATAGGACAAAGGCCTGCGATGCCCATTTCACATGGGTCCAAGGTCTCTGACAAGACACTAATGCCGTAGGCCGTGAGCTGCAATTCCGCAGTGACGTAGCCGGAAATTGCTGAAACTCCATCGAAACTGAAGGCGAGTGAGCGATTGCCGGGAGTGAAAACGACGCTGAAGTAGGTGACAGTAAAGTTGTTGCTCGCTTGGCATAAATTGAGGGCGCTAGATTCGATCAACCTAATGGCATTCACCTGCAGGGTGTTGAGCAAGGCGAGGAAAAGCCCGAAGAGGATGGAGGATAATCGCATATTGACCGAGCCGTGTCCGATGACAACAATATCATTAACTGCCACGGAGGGGATCTGTCAAATGTTTTATGTAGTAATGCGGAGAAGACGTAGTAACCGAGGCGGTCAAATCGAAGGGTGGTACTCCAGAGCACCAACTTGGCGCAAGCCGAAAGCGGAAGTCGTGGGAAGTCGAATGTCGTCCTGCGGGAGGGTTTTAAAGAATCAGGTTCCAGGGAAGAGGTGCTTCCAATAGTCGATGGTTGAGATGGATCGGTAGTCTAGGAACGTATCGTTGCGAATTACGGTTCACAACGTCATTGATGGCTCAAGGCGGTGGTTGGTAGAAGAAACAGGGTAAATGATCGGCTAAGTAATTCTATTTAGTCAAAGGAGTGACGAGGACGCAGTAGTTCGAGTATATAAGCGAGTGTCAGACTGGAAGTCGAGTGGTTTTTGAAAGCGAGTGTGTGACTTTAGAGAAATTGGAGAAATTTGAATAATGAGTGAGCGTGGACGGCGACACACACAGTATGGCCCTGGAGGAGTTGTCGGGAGGAGGGGTGGTGGTGGTGGTTAAAGTGGTGGTAGAAGAAAGGGACAGGAGACCGGGTCGAATTCGGGTGCCTGAGTCTCCTCCCTTAAAGTGGGTGCGCTGCTTAAGAAACAACGTTCACACCCTTCTTCAGTCAAGTGAAGGGCAAGTCGAGCAAAACGAAAGAGAGAGGAAGAAAGAGAGAGAGGAAGGGAAAAAGAAGGTAATCACAAAGTACAAGGGAAGCGAAAGACGAGAATGAAGAGACCTCTCTTTCGTCGATACTCTCTCTCACTATCAAGTTTCACACACTCTCTGCTTCTTCTTCGTCGTTCAGTGTTTTCTTCAGGGGAGAAGAGAACGAAAGAGCGAGCGAGACCCGGAGCTGGTCGTAGGAGAGACGGTCGGGAATGCTTGTGAAACCACCTCAGACCCTCTTGCCGGCTGACTCAGCACGGGGGGAAGTTGGTCGGAGGCCAATCAACAGCGCGGGTGGCCTTGTCACGGATGGGTGGGGCTCAACTCAATCGGGCTAAGCGCCCTGAGTGTACCTACCTAGTATTAATGGAGACTGTATTCTGATTACCACTCCTCACTCACTAAATTATCTCTACAGTATACTGAGAACAGTACTTCATTCAATTTCGTTTGGGCCTACATAGATTCAATCCCTATCCTGGATCTTTGGGGGCAATATATATGAAGAAAGGCATAAGCAAATCAAGAGAAGAGGAAGATTACAGAAATTGGCTGGGGTCTTCTTGTTCCGTGGGGGCCCTGTCCCTCTTCCAGGTATGCATTAATGCTGATGTTGATGCTGATGCTGCTCCTGCTTCTACTACCGCTGCTATGCTGATCAAGAAGGGCCAAAATGTCTCAAAACAGGAATGAGAAATTTGCCGCTGGTGCTGACAGAAAGCTAAGCATAACTACCTCTCTGGTGACCTCTACAGTATGATCATTCGTACGGAGAACTCATACAAGGTACCATGCTATGCTTAGTTACAGTACGGAGTACCATTATGCGTACTCCGTACCTCGTAGTAAGTGCACGCGCGTCCCTCAGGGGGGTTGGGTCTGGGCCGAATGCGGGTGTTCTCTCGCTGAGCTTCTCTCTCTCCCGTCGCTCCGCCCTTGACTTTGATTTGCCTTTCTCTTACCGCCCAGAGTGATAAACCTTGGGGCGCTGAAGTGGAAAAGGCCTGCGACTGGGCGAATCTGGATGGTCCCAATCTACCCACGGATTCTGTGATTTGGAGTCTACGCTGGAGTTCCACTCGAACTGCTACCTACGTAGTGTCGTTGTCGTTGTCGTTGTCATACCTAGTCCCACGTTACGTTTGAACGTTGGAGGTTTGGGACACTCAAGCCAGCCTAACTGAGTGAGTGGATCTTTCTGACTATGAGTACGGGCGTTCTTACTCGAGTTGATGCCCGTCAGTTACTGGCACAGTACTACGGTAAGTATGGATGCGCAAGACTGCGACAAATCAGATCTTCGCTCTTATATTTTCTTGTTGCACTGGCACTTGACCTCGCCGGTGGTAGTGATATTCTTGCTATTTTTAACCGGACATAACTATTTACTCATACTATTTCCCACGAGCGAGAAGCTGAAACTGGTCGGCGCATATTGACCCAGTAGTATAAGCGGGAGACTATGCTGATCGATCCCGCCCCGTGCCTTTGACCATTTTTAATCCGCCCGCGAACTAACTTATGGTGTACTGAGTATAAGGCTCTTCTGGTGTCTAATGACTTTTCATGAACCATCGGTTCGCTTGTCGTCGACTGCGCCTAGATTGTTTGATCTGGTAGGCGTCAAACTTGACTTCAGGTTGTCATTATTGCGAACTTGGAAAAGACAGACGCCAGAGGAGTGTCAATTGACCGTACCATACACCTGCTAACAACTACTGAGTACTTCGGGTTGAACTAGCTGATCCTCGACGTATTCGTATCCTTTTGCCTAGTTACAGACTACTACCAACAGCCCGAGTCTTACTGCACAGCCTCCCTCTACAGCAGTCGCTTAACTCCAGGTCATTCCCGCACAGCACCAGATGTGGGACTATGAACTCCTTAATCAATCTCAAGCAAAGTTGTCTCTTTTACAGTGTACAACATGATCTGATTGATGGCATTGTGAGACAAATCGTACTATGCCCTCTCCACCACTCCGTGATTCACAAGCAAATGAGCCTTGACTACTCCAGAGTGTATGTTCTGTGCGTCCCTGATCAACAAGGGAAGGGGCGTCGATCTTTTACCACTATGAACGGTATCTTACTGTATACTTGGCCGTCCGTGTCTGCGCATCATGACGTCTTTCCCCATTGATCCACTCCAACCCCATACGTTATTGACCATAGATTTGACCGTGGGATATCATGATTCAATCAGCAAAAGAGAAGACGGTCATGCAGCAATCGATCGAAGAATATCTCCATGAACGTTCTCCTTGAGGGGCTGACGAGCACCTGCACCTGCACCAGCCCTCCTCAGACCGGTCGTACCTTAATAATCGGAAAAGAAAAAGGGTCCAAAGTTCAAACTCACTCCAACATGCTGGGCGCTGCGAACCATGGCACACCTCTCCTATTTTTGGCATTGGAACTTGCAAATTCTTTTCGAAAATAAACCAACCAAGGTTTGCGTGGCTGTCCGCCACACGATCCATTGTGGGATCTAGTCCAGCCTACGATGAATTCGAGCGGTCGTTCTGCTCCGCAACACAACCCTATTTTTTTCCCGTTGCGCATTCTTCCAGCCGACTTGACCTTTCAATCCGATTTCTTAGCTGTCAGTGATCTGTTAAAACATGCAAGGTGCACTTTCCTACAGTGTCGTCACCCCTTGGGCTTCTGGAGGCTCTGCTCTGTGCAGTCCATGTTTGCTTAGTCCAGACTCTAGCCCCCAGCACGGTAAAACGTACCCGAGGTCCCGAGCGAACTTCCTTAGTCATTCGGTTGCCTAATACGCAAGCACTTTGGCTGGGGATCTTGTGTACGCATACATAAACTCCTCAAGACACGGCTGGGAATTCTTAGTTACCCCCCTACTGTACCCATGCAAGTATGTCAGTCTTTATGGATAAACAAGAACTCTCGATGGCATTCAGTGTTATGCGAACGGATCTCCGGTTCCCACATTACAATGACGTTTTTACGTGCTTCGCGTCTCGGCTGCCCCAGCCGGCCATACAACAATGGCATCCATGTTCCAGCACACGCTTCCAATGAGATTCTTGTTGTTCAATCACAGAGTTCGCAAGGCGAGCCTGGAGCGATGGATACAGTATAGTATAAACATACCGGAACTTGCCTTGAGTTACAGGCCTATTTTATTTGACCATTGCTCGGCTGTCTTCAGACTTACCTGTTGGACTAGCAGGATGGAAGCTACAACAGCACATCTGTCTCACGGTTCTCATGTCTTTCCGAACAATTGGAGAGCTTGACAATATGCTCCACAGCGGCTTCTTCTCCTTTCACGCCATCTTGGACGAAACTAGCGAAAAGGGGTAGGTTGGCGGTTTGCGCAAAGCGCCAGGCTTCCACGGAATCAAATGTTAGAAGTATACGAATCTTGCCGTACTTACAAGAGGCTCACATCGTTCATGATCACGTTTGTGGGACGGGGTGAGGACAATTAGTTTCCATTATCGCCAAATGCTGCTGTTCTTTTCTTCATAATCAAATTCATATACTGCCGTACGTTTTGGTTAGAGATGAATGTTGTCGGATTCTCCTGACCGAGCTCTTCTCCTTTTCTTTCCACTTGGGTATTATTTCAAGATTTCTTTTGTGGCTATGCAACCAAACTGATTGGAATAAGAAGCATTTAATCGGCCTGAGACCGCCCGAGAAACTCCGCAGATTGCGGTACCGAGGACAGTAAAGCGAGTGAGGGCTTATGTGGCAAGCAGCATCATTGTTGTTTCTTGGAGCAGTACTCTGTCTAATCGCAATAACCCTCAGAGATAACGTCGACACGTTTCATGAACGTCAAGGCTTGCTCCTGAGTTCATCGAAATAGAATGGGTTCAGAGGCTGACGCGACGTGCTTTACGCGAACTAGTTGATTTGGTATAGTCCTATAGGCATGATACCTATTAGACTGATTGATCCCAATATGTCTACCTAACAAGCGGCAAGCCTTCACAATACGACAATATGTGGCTCGGAGTCTTTCACTTGATAGCATCTATGTCCTTCTATATTATCCGGGCTGACAAGCTGCCACGTATAGGAGATATTAGTCGTAATTTTGAGTTTTCTGCTATTGAAGCGCATCGGAAAGATGTGCTTTGATATAGTTTATGTATGCCTCAGGCCCTCATGGCCCACCCTTATCGTTTTCTTATCAGCACGTGACGCGGAGTTTGGCAGAAACGGAGAGAAAAAAAAAGAGAAAAGCGGCCTCGCGATTCCAGGCCCTGCACTTCCACCACCAGATCTATATTTTTTTTCGCAGTGAGGGATTCGTCGACACCAGACAACTCCGCGAAAATGCCGATCCCCGTGGACTCCGCCAAATCTCTCTCCAAGAAGCGCAAGAGAAAGCACGGTGGAGGCGCCCGTCCTGCGACCGACAGCGAGGAAGCCTCCCCAGTCCAGAATGAAGCCGTGACCGAAGTGGCCGATGCTGTGGAGGAGGAAGTTAGCACGACCCCCAAGAAGAACAGCGACAAGAACAAGAAGAAGAAGGAGTCCTCCAAGAAGCGCAGAGTCGACAACTCCGACGAGGATGAGAATGACAGCGACGAGGAGATCCGTCAGGAGGAGGTAGAGGAAGAGGGCGAGGGTGAAGAGAGCGCCGATGAAGAAAAGACTGCCGGTGCCGACCTTCCTTCGATCGATACTGTCCGTCTGCCTACGACGGACTCGGAGCCTAAGAAGTTCTCGGAATTGAACCTCTCGGAGAAGACGATGAAGGCTATTCAGGACATGGGCTTCGAGACCATGACTGAAATTCAGCAACGGACCATCGGCCCGCTGCTCGCTGGTCGTGATGTTCTCGGTGCTGCGAAGACTGGTTCTGGAAAGACTCTCTCGTTTTTGATTCCTGCTGTGGAGATGTTGAGCGCTCTGCGGTTCAAGCCCCGTAACGGTTCGTTGCCGATGAGCTCGATCGTTCAATCCGGTTGCGTGCTAATTCGCTTGTCATAGGTACTGGTGTTCTTGTGGTTTCCCCCACCAGAGAACTGGCCCTGCAGATCTTTGGTGTCGCTAGAGAATTGATGGCACACCATTCCCAGACGTATGGTATCGTTATCGGTGGTGCCAACCGAAGAGCTGAGGCCGAGAAACTCACCAAGGGTGTGAACTTGCTTATCGCCACCCCCGGACGTTTGCTCGATCACCTGCAGAACACCCCCGGATTTGTCTTCAAGAACCTGAAGACGCTTGTTATCGGTAAGTCGGTATTGAATTATCGTAACTTGGATGGTCTAACATCTTTCAGATGAGGCGGACCGTATCCTTGAAGTCGGTTTCGAGGATGAAATGCGCCAGATTGTTAAGATCCTGCCCTCCGAGGAAAGACAGACGATGCTGTTCTCCGCTACGCAAACCACGAAGGTTGAGGACTTGGCTCGCATTTCGCTGCGACCTGGCCCTCTCTACATCAACGTTGACCACCGCAAAGAACATAGTACGGTCGAGGGCCTGGAGCAAGGCTACGTCATCTGTGAAGCGGACAAGCGCTTCTTGCTTCTGTTCTCCTTCCTCAAGCGCAACCTCAAGAAGAAGATCATTGTCTTCTTCTCCAGCTGTAACTGTGTCAAGTACCACGCTGAATTGCTCAACTACATTGATCTTCCCGTTCTCGACCTCCACGGCAAGCAGAAGCAGCAGAAGCGCACCAACACCTTCTTCGAGTTCTGCAACGCCAAACAGGGAACCTTGATCTGTACCGATGTTGCTGCTAGAGGGTTGGATGTACGTTACCATAAATCACTATTACGAGCCACATTTCTGACGTTCTTCCTTTCTAGATTCCGGCCGTCGACTGGATCATCCAGTTCGATCCCCCAGATGACACCAGAGATTACGTTCACCGTGTCGGTCGTACGGCTCGTGGTGTGAACGGTAAGGGACGCAGTCTGATGTTCCTTCAGCCTTCCGAGGTTGGATTCTTGAAGCACCTGAAGGAGGCTCGTGTTCCCGTTGTGGAATTCGATTTCCCCGCCAGCAAGATCGTCAATGTCCAGTCTCAGCTTGAGAAGCTGATCGGACAGAACTACTACTTGAACAAGGTAAGCTGGACTACTGTCTTTGTTGTTCCGACCCGGATATTAACGTTTCATCCAGTCCGCCAAGGAAGGCTACCGTGCCTACCTCCAGGCCTATGCATCGCACTCGCTCCGCTCCGTCTTCGACGTGCACAAACTCGACCTGGTCAAGGTGGCCAAGGGCTTCGGCTTCTCGACGCCACCCCGCATTGATATCACACTGGGCTCCAGCATGAGCCGCGACAAGAAGCAGCAGCAGCAGGGACGGCGCAACTACGGCAGCCAGCCCAATAACAAGGGGCTGAAGTTCAAGCGGAAGCACGACGATGAATGAGTCAGCGCGGAGCAAAAGTGATTGATTGTAACATTGTGCGGTTTTTGAGTATTGGCATATAGTCTCGGAGTTCGATACTGTGGATATTTGGCTTGTCTACTACATATGGTTGATTCACAATTGTTAATTGTTTCTCTTTTCATCCGAGCATCCAAGCAGAGCAGGAGGTGGGATTCAGATGCTTCGAAGTCGTCGCTATGAGGGGATAGTAAATACTTTCTGATGCATATGCTGAAATGCAATTCAGTAATGGCCGAGTAACATCGCATCAAAGTCGCTGGGCCCGTCCTGCTCCGTCTCTTCGTTATGAAGAAACTACAGACTGGCGTGTAGTCCCATGATTCATGATCAAAGATGAGCATTACATCCAGGTTTGGGGTCATTGACAATGCCTGCGGTAATATGAGTGGTACAACCGCCAATTTCATGCATCTCCTGTCAGATGTAAGCTCTAAACAGATCCGTGCTCAGCGCAATATTGGACATCAGAAGCAGTAAAATCGATATCTTAGCTACTTAAAGTCAATAGGTTGGGTTTGAATAACTCGAAGACCCAGATATACCATACTAATCAAGTTGGCATTCACCGAGTGTGGCATGGCCTCCAGCTACATACAGCAACTTACCTCCTCAATCCATCATGGATCTACCTGCCTAATCTGGCAGGAAAGAATGAAGGGCTGTGACAAGAGATTTCTACACTTCTCAGTGACCAGCAAAAGATCGAACTCTTCCTCTCCACCTTCTACTCGATTTCGCCTTATTGGGTACAAATTGACCCCATACGGGCAATGCTAGTGTGAACAATTGTTCTTTCGCAGAAAACCACAGTCCATGCGACAAAAGAACTTGCTTGCTGCCCGGTCCGTCAAACGGCTGCACATCCGATATGCGTCCTGACTCCTGCCTAACTGCCGGCTGCCATTGCTTGCTTCCCCCCTCCGATCGGGGTTCTCACCGCAGGACAGACTTCCAATTGTGAGAAAAACAGCGTCGGCAGTTAGATGCATCTTGCTTTCAAGCCTTGTCTATCACTTGCAAGGAGCATGGGTGGCTGGTCGGGTAGAGTCTCTCTTTTTTCCTCCCCTTCCGGTGGCTGGGAGGATAAGTGACCTATGGATGGATCCCCCTGCCGTCGTTCGTCCCGTGAATCCACCCATTCAACTCCATCCCATGGCTAAGTACTAGAAATCAGACATTGAGAAAAAAAAAAACCAACGTTGCATGCGACATGGCAGTAAGCAGCCTGAACCTTGATCGTTGGGGTCCTACTGGATGACCCTCGTGACGGTGGTCACCAATCAACGAGGGAGTCTCGCATTCGACGGGATGTGATGAGTTGGCAGATTTTCTATCGTCCGAAGAGACCGGAACATTGGTCGTCCTAGAGACCCGCGTCCGGTCGGCGGGTGTTCAAGAAAGAAAAGACGAACAGGCCTTTGTCGGTGGGCCTTGGCCCTTAAACTACTTTGGAGCTTTGCTCTGCCTGCGGCCTGGGCAACAAAACAGACTCTCGAGCCCGCGGGTCCGCGGCGTGTCGGACAGGCCCACCGCTGGGATAACCTGGATCGGTCTCCCTCTGCGGTACCTACACTAGTCGTTTGAATCTGATGCTCTCCGCTATGAAGCAGATGATGATGATGATGAAGGTGATGATACTGGAGTAGTATCCATAGTGGTGATGGTCAACAGTGACGCCGCTTCGTTTCAGCTCTGAAGATCGTGGCGAATTTATGATGGGTCATAGAGAGGGCTGCTTTTACAGATGTTCTGGTTGCTCGTGTTTCATGCTCTATAAATCCCAGCCAATTTCCTGGTCGCAATTCGCGACAACCTGTTCTTCCCCAGCTCATTTCTTTGCCAGAATGGGTGGATGAAAGACGACTCGCTCTTCTGTTCGCTTTGGCTCTCCTCCCCTCTCACACCTGTACAACGGTTATAGGACCACCCAAGACACAGAATGTCAGACGGACAGGATACAGATCACATCTTGGGTTGCACCACGGAGGCAATAACCCGTTCGTCGCTTCATGGTAGGTATGAAATGTCGACAACATCCCTGGCGCGGAAAATTGCTATCCTACGGAACTCGAGGCTTTCTTGCGGTTCAGGTTGAGTGCGGCAAGACCGGGAAACCCGAGAGGAGAGCGATTGATGTCGAACGATTCGAGAAAACACCTTTGGAGGAGGATAAGTGGTACTTATTTATACTTCAAATCCAAGGGGAGGTTCAGATCACCGCGCAAAGCTCGGTCACATTGCATGGATCTCACTTTGCTGGGAATCACGCACTTACTCGCTCACACATACACGTAAGAAGGGAAAGCCCACTTCTACCGATCCCAACCGACGTGGGAGAGAGCAATGGACACCCAAAGCGAGGACGATCAAAGCTCACTCAGCAGAATATAAGGTGGGAAACCCAAAGAGAGCGAGGCTGGCGAGGTGCTTATGCTCTTAGTGGAAGGGCGACAGTGGTGCTCTTATTGTTTCGATGTTGTTGTTGGGTGACAATTCTTTATTTTCTTTTTCACTGTCTCGAATTTTCTTTTTTGTCTCAGAAAATCGATTCTGTGCCAGCTCATCTATTGTAATCGGCGTACCTTACTTAAGTTTGGCTGGGACGACGACGACGACGACGAGGAAGAACAGAAAGGTGGTAGTTAGTGGTGGCTATGAGTACTGACTCAACAGCTAAATCCAACTAGCCATCATCAAGTGTTGATATTCCTTGACCAGCCTTCTGCTTTTTTTTCTGCTTGCCCACTTTTTCCCCTCCCCTCTTTCTCTTCCTCAGTGTTAGCTTCGGAGTTATTCCCGCCAAACCCTGTCTTGTACCTGATTCCATCTCCTTCACTTCTGCTCCCTCTTTGGGCTGATAATTGGATTTCCTTTTCCTCCAGGTGCTCCTCCGTCTAGCTTACTATTTTATTTATTTATTTTGGTTTTGATCATTATTAAACAGTGTCATTTGTTTCTTTTTGCAACCTAATTTGCCTTTGCTTCCTTCCCCCTCTCCTTCTGTGATTGATCTCTGGCTGGACAGCCACCAATGCATGGGGTCTCTTGCGGTGAATGCACATGGCCACCAGCTAGATGATTGATTGATTCAGTTATCCACTCCCAGTGAGCGATCTTCAACAACTCGCCTCTTCTTTCCTTCTCGCGCTCTGTCGCACGTTCTCTTTCTCCCTCTCTTCCTATTCTCCCAGTCGACTTTCTCACTAAGGTCATTCTATCTTTCTGGGTTCTTCCGCGGGTGGTGTAGAGAGAGAGTCGCCCCAGTCTTGCTACAATCGCGTCTAATCCAACCGTCCATCCATCCATCCATTTCCCCACCACCCTCTCTCTCCAGTGCTGGTACGCTGTTCTTCCTTTGCTTGTTGCTGATATTGATCGCATCCTTACCTTCCCTGCCTCCATCCCACTCCCTCACTTTCATCTTTGCTTGCATCTGTTTGTCTGCAGTTGTCTGCCACTGTCTCCAACCCACTTACTGCACCTTCCGATCGGTCCGAGCTTGTGGTGAGACTCCAATCTGCTAACTGGCAGTCGGGGATCCAGAACCAGATCCTGTCATCCAGCCTTACCATCTATCCATCTATCCATCCACCCATCCATCCATCCATTCTGTTCATCGCTTGCCCTTTGCTCTTCCTTTCTTACCCCTTCCCTCCTTTCTTCTGCACGCTTTCTCCCCCTTCTCCAGATCTCAGATTAAGAGCAAGAAGAGATCAGCCCCCCCCTCTCAAGGTCCTAAAAAAAGAAACCCGAACCCGATTATGATTCGGGTTGGCTGAGAGAGGAAAAGACAACGAGACTTACTCTCTCGATTCTTTTCCTTATCGACCATGATGGGCGTCGAAACGCGCCGCAGACCGGTCCTGCCTGCCCCAACTGAATCCATTGTCGACACCAACACCACAGGCGGCAGCGTCACAGGCACTGATCTGGCAACTGACATCTCTCGCCGCACAGACAAAACCTCTTACTCCATTCCAGACGACGGGACTCCCGTCACTATCCCCACCCGTCGGAAACAACACCATCGTTCCCGCGGGGACGATTCCAAGCTGTCCCGCTCGTCGCAACACTCCCAGACCTCCCTGCTCATCGAGTATTTCGAGGGCGGGAAGGGTTCTGGCTCCCTGGTTTCCCGGCCCAGCGTCCGTGTTCGAGTGACCCCTTCCTCCGCGCGGAAGCTGAAGGACCAAAGAGACCATATTCAAATCACTGAGTCTAGCGGCAACCGTAAACCGGTTTATTCCCGCCGCATTTCCCTCAGCTCGCCCCACAAGCACCGGTTACTGGCCGAGTCCGGGCCCGATGATCAAAGTATAAGCTCCTCCAATTCAGCTACCGATGAGAACCAGCCTCCTGGTCATTCCCCCGTTGAGATTGAGCTCATGGATCGCCACCGTGGTAGTGAGGTTTCCAGCCTGTCGCGCGACACACGGTACATGCTGCCCGCCTCGGATATCTCCTCCATGCCTGCAGATAGCATGCTTGATACCCCCTCGTCTGGCCTCCGTCGCAAACGCAGTCAAAGTTTAGAGCGAGGTCCAAGCCACGAGTCCAAGGACTACCTTAAGACCCCGAGACGACAAAGAAGTCGCAGCCTAAGCACTGAGCGGATCGCTCATCGCGTGGCAGAAAAGCTTAGCAACGATCCTCGCGACGGCTCACGACAGCGTCGACGGGCAGAGAAAAGTAAGTTCGACGACAGTGAGGAGGCCGATCTCAAGTCTTCCCGGCAGCGAGGACACGACGACATGATCAGTCCCGAGTCCAGCCTCCTCAGCGCCTCGGCCGTCTCCTCGCATCGCCGATCCGGTGACCAGTACTCCTTCCGATCCGGGACCTCCAAATCGTCCATCAACAACCCGAAACTACTTGAAACCGTCGAAGACGCAATTCGGAGGTTGATCCTGCCCGAACTGAAAGAGCTGAAGAAAGACCAAAAAGTCATGTCGAATACTTCCAAATTTGACCGAGACATGAATGCCTCGCACTCGTCCGCCAGTACACCGTCACGGGATGGACTCGGAAGGCGATTGTCAAAACACGCAAGTGCGCCTGACGTTAGGAAGCCCAAAGTTGTTCTCAACAAGGATAGTCGTGACGAGGGAATCACTATTTCGGGAGATTCAGTCCCCTCTCGGGCCGAGCGGCGATCGAGTAAGGATAGCGAGAAGTCTCCAGATATTGGTTACGTCAAATGGGCCAATCGACCAGAGTTGACTGAGCAAGAAAAGCTGCGGCGCCAGCGAAGCAAAGGGCTGCGCGAGGCAGAAAAAGCGGGCCTCGTCGGTAGCGCCCTAACAGCGGCGGCTCTCCAGCATCACGATTCGCGATCGAGCTTGGCTAGTAGCGAAGGTAGACGCAGAAGCAGCGGCCCCCAGAGCCCGATAGGAGGCATCAACGAGACTGAGCTGGTCTTTCAGAGACACAACGTTGCTCCCATGCCGTTACGCAGTGCAGTCGAGTCAGATCTGACAAGGGCTTCACTGCTCTCAGAGCAGTCTGCCGACCCCTATTCTTACGAGGAGTCTAAAGAACACGACATCTCGCATGGGTCGTTTTACCAAACCATCTCCCCTACTCCACGATCCCCGGGGCAGGCTTCTCTGGACTCGCAGCATGACTTGAAGCTCAAGCACAGCAACCTATCTAGCCATAACTTGTCTCTGCGCAGCGTCTCGAGTCATTCGTCCGTCGGAGGTGCTTCGGCCGGAGCTATTGCGGCGGCGGCTGCAGCCAACTTGCTTGATGTACATGCAGGACACCATGACACCGATTATAGTGATCTTACAAGCCGACGACGGACACTTAGCCCAATTCAAAGCGTGGCGAGCAACATCAGCCAGTCTCCAGTAAAGCAGAACTCGAATTCTTATGATCACCACGACTTTTCCGACGATGAAAAGGGGCTGGAGCAGCGTTTGTCCATCGATTCGCTCTCGTCTGCTCCCAGCACCAACCTCGCAAGGTCAACCCGCCCGGAAGGACTCAGCATCAATAGTCAGACCGAGTCCCTTCGAAACCAATATGATCCTGGGCACGAGCTGGGCTACGAGGAGACGCCTAGAGCATCGCCACGAGGCAGTCGCTGGGTTGAACATTCGGATGGAGAAGACGACGGCGACGACTATGCCCACTCGACTGCGAGCACTGAGCGCAACAGAATGCCTGGACACAACGAGGACAGCGAGGTTACTTTCATGGACCACGCGAAGCAAGGCCAACCTGTCGCTGAAGGTGTCGCCGCCAATCCTCGCTTTGTCCATCCCCTCGCCGTGGAGTCGGCAGTGGCTTCGCTCTTGGATCCCACTATTCTAGACACCAAGTCCAGTCAGTCTGCTGCTAATCGCTCCATGAACGACATTCCCGAACAAGCCGAAAGCGATCGGGATGAGGCGATGGACAAATTGGAGGAGACTCCTCATGCTTCGCGCCGAGGAAGTCCTCTCAAGCAAGACCACAATGTGTCAAGTCCTGATGCTACATCGTTCCCGAGACGTATGGGTGCCACTTCGCCTCCGCAGAGTGTTACTCAGTCTTATGAAGACTTGACAGATCCGACTCACATGTTCGCCGGAATTCGCGACCAGAGCCCCCTTCCCGAGGAAGACCCACTTCCAGATACAGAATCGGAAATCAATACCAATCCTTCCATTATCCAAGGACCGGCGGCTCAAGAAGCTAGTTGGTCGTTCAATCAGACGCCTTCCAAAGATGCTCCGTCTCCTCTCTTCGATAAGGGTGGCGCCGTTGCTGGTGCGGCTGCTGGTGCGGGCCTGGGTTTGGGGTCGGTCGACCACGCACAATACGACCAGGAATATTACCCCGAGGACGAATATGCTGCAAATGACTACTACGACCAACAATATTCGCGGCAATTGTATGGGACACCCCTTGGAGCCAAAGACGAGGGCTATGTCTCGGCTGCCAATCCCCGTTCTCCAAGCGTTGATACGCCTGAACCATTGAAAAAGGGGATGGGAGGGATTGATGCCAACTTGGGTATGTTCGACAGTCCCATGGGAGCTGATGATTTCATGCCCGGCCATCAGCGACAGCTGAGTGGGTACTCCCATGGGGTTGGATCTCCGCTATATGACAGTGCCACTGGCAAAGGCATCGATCGTATTCAGTCCAAGGATATCGTCGCACTCATGGACCATGTAAGTTCCAGTTCCCTTTCATCAATACTTCGAAAACTCTGCTGACACTGTCTAAGCTTACCGTTCGCGATGCGCAACGGAACGCCAGAGATACAGAAATCCTGGTGACGCTGGTTCGAAGCGCGGCCGAGATGCGCAACTCGTTCGAGGAAATGAAGAAGTTCATCGCTCAGCAAGATGGAATGCTCATGGAGGCCAGCGACAGACAGCACGAGCGTACATATCGGGCTGTTGGCGGACCGCGCCCACTGCCGGTCAGTGCGCGCAGCGCTCGTCAGATGTCTGTGGAGGATGGCGAGGAACTGAGCCAGAAGCGCAAGAACATCTTCAAGCGTGCGCTTAAGGGCCTGAGTATGAAAAACTCGAATGATCTGACCAAGATCGAGGATATGTTGGAGCAATTGCTGGAGGAGGTTGAGGCTCTTCGTCACAATCAGGATCACGGGTTTCCGCGCAATGGTAACCGGGCTGCCAGCGTGGATCCGGAAGGCTATGAGCCAGAAGGTCACGCGGGAACTTCCTCTCCTGGGAATCCCTCCGAATACCTTTCGACGTCGTCACAGCTCGTCCAGGATCCCAATCAGTTCCGGAAAGGCCTCGAGAACCGTGTGAGCACGGTCCAGGAGGTTGATGAGGATATGGAAGACGATCGCGGGGAGTTTCTGAGCCCTCACCTGGTGTCTCAGCCGAACCCCAACAACCGACAGGACCGAGCTGGCTCGGCTCCTGTCTCAACACCCCCTCGGGAGGCGATGGCTTCGGGGGCTCTTAGCACTGACACCACCCCGAAGATTACCGAGAAGGCAAAGAAGCACAAATCCAGCAGCTCTTCGTTCTTCCCCAAAATTTCACGCTGGTCGAAGACCACCGCCTCATCGATGGGTGACAACATCCGCAACAGCATTCAACCGAATCGCAAAGAGCGGGCTTCTTTTGATGCTTCGCGCTCCGGGTCCGACCTCGCACAGGGGCCATATCAAACGACAAATTATTATGATCCTCAGGGTGAAGATCGACTGCGCTCCACTTACACCTTAGATGACCAGCAACATGAGAACCGACCACCATCGCCGTTGGTGCCATCTCAGATGTCTGAAACACCCAAGTACCGGGCTCACCGCGGTAGCCTCGACCTGCACCATCCCCAACCCCGCCAAGGACCCACCGGACGGTACCAATCTCAGCTGGAAACGCAGGCTCAGGTTTACACCGCACCGTCCGACCACTGGGGATCGAATCCCAGCTTGTCGGGTGTAAATGCCAATCCGCGCTACAGTGGTGGCGGCCGGCTATCTCCCATCTCGGACGCAGGTTATTCAGAAGCCAGTTCTCGCCAGACGGGACCCCCGCGACCCCCGAAGATCAAAGACGAAGGGCCCCTGATCCCGGAGAGGTCCCCCAAGATTAAGGATGACGACGAGCGGTCGTATATGGATCGTGTCGTTTCACGGGTCAGTGTGCATTCCTGGAAAGGACGGCTGAGACGAGCTATGCTGACGAGATTTCTGTAGAGTTCTGCTGTTCAGTCCCCACGCAGCACGCCTCCCCCGCGCAAACCGACGGGGCCTCGTCCCCTCAACTCGGGCAGTCAGTACAGCCCGGCGCGACGAAAGCGAAGCCAGTATCGAGCGACCAGTCCGGAGCAGGTTGATGCCGAGCTTGACTAGACGTTTCTGATTTCAGTTGATACCCTTTCTTTTTATTGTTTTGTTTTGTTGCCTGCGGACCGTTTACGAGATAATGACATGACTAGTTGCACCATGTGCTATGACCAGCGTCTTGCATTTGTGCGAGCGTGATTTCTTTTTGTGTGGGTGGACGAGGTTGTGGCTGTGAATTTTGTTATACCATGTATCCATTTGCTGTCGTATAGTGATGCGCTACATATTGACTTGATTTGAAGCGGTGACTGGGGTGTGAGTGTAGACTGGCTCTAGCCTCCAGTTGATAATTGTTAGTTGCAATTAGTGTCCGATCATAAGTAGCAGGCTCTATGCATGGTGACTGTAGCTATCCATGATTGCCGTTAGCTTATCGGTTTGTGTATGGTTGCTGGCATGACGGGGGGTTTGAGTATGAGAAGAATGGGGGGAGTGATAAGTGGGGGCTGCATGTCAATGCCCTACCTAGCAGTAGTAGTCATGATGACATGGAGACTCCAACCGTCATGGGCCTGCCATGGCTCTCAGCTCTATCGTGTTTGATCGGTTTTTGAACCACGGAAATGTTCCTTATGCGGGGTAATCAACACGAAGTATAAGACCCTTCCCTCTCCCCTCATCAAGCATTCCATCACCCTCCGCTCTCTCGTCCTCAACCTCGTTTCAATAACTAGTTACATGCCTATGCACCATGCCAATTTCACCGCCATCGCCATCATCATCATCATCATCATCATCATCATCATCATCATCTCTTGATTTCATCATCTGCTCAACATGCGGCACGCAATTCCCCACCACCTCGCCCCCACCCAACTGCAAGATCTGCGATGATCCCCGCCAATTCATCCCTCCAACAGGGTACGTACAGTATACAGTGTCTACCTCCCCTTTCAAATATTCCCCAGCCCCAGCACAGCACCCAGAGTCACCCAGGATTCTAACAAAAAAGACAATCCTGGACAACCCTCCGCGCCCTCCGCCACCCAAACCCTAGCACAAACCAGACCCAAACCCAGACCCATGACCATGAACACCACCAACCCTACCACAACGAATTCCACCCCCTCCACCCCAGCACCACCACCACCAATCTCGAAACAGCAACCCTCCTCGCAATCCACACCGTCCCCAAGCTCGCCATCGGCCAACGCGCCTTCCTCTGCCGTACCCGCAGCGGCAACATCCTCTGGGACTGCATCCCGTTCCTGGATGACGATACCGTCCACAGAATTGAGCGGCTGGGCGGGCTGCGGGCCATCGTCATCTCGCATCCGCACTACTACGCCACGCATCTGGAGTGGGCGCGCGCGTTCCGGTGTCCGGTCTTTCTGGCCGCGGAGGATGAGGAGTGGGTTGTTCGGCGGGGTGAGGAGCAGGTGTTTTGGGAGGGGGGAAGGTTGGATTTATGGAAAGTTTTGGGGGGAAACGTAAAGGAGGAGGGGGGGAATAGGGGGGAGGGTCCAGGTGAAGGTGCAGGTGAAGATGAAGAGGGGCAGGATGCCCTGGAGGTGATCAAGACAGGCGGCCATTTCCCGGGGAGTACGGTGCTGTGGTGGCGGGCGTTGCGGACGCTGCTCATCGCGGATACGATCGGGACGGTGCCGAGTGGGATCTATCATGTCGACCGACTGCCGGGGACGGCGTCGTTTACGTTCCTGTGGTCGTATCCGAATATGGTTTGTCGCCCTTGTTGTGCCCTTGTTGTGCTTCATCCGTCTTCGGGGGTTTTGCTGACTTGGACCTGACGGTAGATACCCTTGCCGCCGGATGAGGTGTTGAATATCTGGAAGGCGATCAAGCACACCGACTTCGATTCGACGTATGGCGCTTTCGTGGGGATGCATACTCACGGGGATAGCAAGAAACGCGTTCTGGAGAGTGCTAAGATCTTCGTCCGGGCTATGGGGTATCTGGATCATGCCATTCATAAGGAAGTCTGTTTGTGACAAAGCATCTAAGGTATACACTGAGCACGCTTCTCTTCGTTATTGTACAGTACAATCATACCAGGTCCCTGTCATGGCGGATGCATGAATGCTCTCTCACACAGCACGGGAAGCCTGTATACTCTAAGGTACAGTTCAGTTAATGATACTTACATCTTTGGCCTGACAACACTCCACACACACACACACACACACACACACACACACACACACACACACACACACACACCTACCTAACTTACGTACGTACGTACGTACTACTAGTAACGTAACGTACGTACGA